TTGCATCAATATGCATATGATTATAAACAATTCCACTTTTTCGATCTGACCCTTGGTAGTCATGACCAAGGAACTGTTGTGAATATTCTCAGCATGAAACAATGCACATGTATTTCAAAGTTCTGTCTTAAACTTGAAACCACACAATTCATTCTCATCCCTGATCTTAGGGACAATTTTTTAAGAGTTCCAATCATCTATGATCAGTATCTAGTAACACAGCATGTATGGATTCCAATTCTTCTGGCATTGGCTGGAGCTAATTGAGTTCAGGATACATAGGATATGGGAAAGAGCCAACTAAGTACAATTTGAAGACTAAAAGCAATTGTGCATTTTTATTTGTTGAACTCGTGATGGAAATTAATCAAGGAAAGAACCAACATTGTACTAAGGAAAAATTTCCTGACAATTAAAACAATTAATCAGTGGAACAACTTGCCTCCAGAGGTTGTGAATGCTCCAACACTAGAAGTTTTTAAGAAGACATTGGATAACCATTTGTCTGAAGGGGTGTAGGGTTTCCTGCCTAAGCAGGGGGTTGGATTAGAAGACCTCCAAGGTCCCTTCCAATTTCTATTCTATTCTATTCTATTCTATTCTAAATGGTTGGTACTGTTCCAAGCTCAGAATAATTTAATTATTATATTTCATGGAAATTTCTAGTAGAAGAAAGTTAGGGATGGTGAATCAAAGAAAGGAACTATCTTAGTTTGAAATATGAAACAAATGAGCTAGCTCAATTTAAAACACATGCATCTTCATTGTCTAAAATTTAGATTCTAAAAACAAACATACAGAAGTGAAAGATAACCAAAGTGTACATCTTTGAAAAGTGTCATTTCAAATTTCATCAGATGGCCATGCAAGTTTGCAGTCAGTGAATAGAATAAATATTCTTCAATATTTTACCAAGTTAGATCTCAGTTTTGCATTTTACTAATTAGTACAGATGATTCTCTTAATTTAGTTGCTGATTTTCTTCAAAAATTATGTCCCAAACTAAAATAATTTGTTTAAAAAAATCATTGTTGGTAAGTGTGCATCCTACATAAGTAAATGTACAGAAGTTACAGACAAATCTGCAAGGGCAGCAGCTTCTCCCCTTTTATTCATCCCAATCTTTCCTTGCCTGTTTTTTTTTTTTCTTCCTGAGCTGAGTTCTAGAGACAGAAGCCAGATTGGCTGGGAGAAAAAGTTAAGGTATATATACAGAATATTACAGGTGAGGAACATATTAACTCTCACTTCCCCAACTACCTTCTGTAAGAATAACTCATTTTATTATGAGGGAGAACTTTTGTATTCTTTGTAACATCTAGCATGTCTGGTTTAATGAAAAGAAGGACTAGGAGTGACATGATAGCAGTGTTCCAATATCTAAGGGGCTGCCACAAAAAAGATGGGCTCAACCTATTCTCCAACATACCTGAAGGCAGGACAAGAAGCAACGGAGGGAAACTAATCAAGGAGAGAAATCAATCTAGAACTAAGGAGAAATTTTCTGACAGTTAGAACAATTAATCAGTGGAACAGCTTGCCTTCAGAAGTTTGGGTGCTCTAACACCGGAAGTTTTTAAGAAGAGATTGGATAGCCATTTGTCTGAAATGGTGTAGGACTTCCTGCTTGAGCAAGGGTTGGACTAAAAGAACTCTAAGGTTCTTCCAACTCTGTTATTCTGTTATTAAGATTAGTAGACCACTAACATAGGAAATTTTGTTCAAGATGTGCAACACTCGGAATGTATCCAATACTAAATCTTGTGTAACAGGCAGTCTGCATTTGAAACAAGCATTTATAGCCCCAAGCATCCCTCATCATTGGCCATGCTATTTGAGGCTGCTTGAAACTGCATTTCAGCAACATCCTAAGGGCCATAGGGACCATCTTTGATTTATAGTAATGAAATCACTACTGTACTAAAAGCTAGCAATTGCTCCATGGGATAGAATTTTACTCACAGTTCTACAGGCCTTAAGAATATAAATAATCTATTAATTTAACCATCAACCTGTCTCTCATTCTCAGTCTGTCTTATACAGCTTCTGATTTTTCCTCAATTTACCCTTGACAACACAACAGAATATTCAGTTAAGTGCTTATTCAAAAGGTCCCACAATTATTTTCAATTGTTGTCAATACACTGCTTTGAATTAAGAATCTTCTTTCTAAAGTATTGAGAAAAAGATTGTTTCATAGCCTAGCGAGTATTAAAGATGAATACACTTTCTAATCTTTTTACCTGTCAGATGTAGTTTCCTACCTAACAAATATGCTTTCATTTACACATAAACTACAGCAACACACTGAACATGGGGCTTCTTATATAGGGGAAAACCAAAACAGGCAGAAATTTCAAAACATGATGGCAGATTTACCAACTGGACGGGGAGAAACGAATTTATCACATCAGTACTTATCAATGGCTCCATCATATTTGGGAGCTCAGTTCAAGGAGCTCTTTTAATTTGGTCCTAGCTTGGAAAGATGAACAGACTGTGCGTTATCATACCTTCCTACCTGGATTTTGAGATATTCAGAGGAGACATTTTTCTGAATGTCCCTGCTGAACATAGTACAGCAGTTCTTGAGAAGAAAAGCTCCTCTTCAGGTTGTGGAATGTTCTTCCCAGAAATATGTACTTGGCATCTATCTGGGTTAGTATGATTTCAAGTAAAAGCCTCTATTTTTCCAATGTTTTTGCTCTTTCACCTTTAAAGTGATTTTACTATCTGCTACTTCTAAAGCAATACTTCTGGATTTTACTTTTCATTTCTTGCTTAAGAGCTTTGTTAATCTAGCAACCTTTAAAATCCAAAATAAAATATCAATAAGAAGTCATATTTATTTAACCTCCTCCACGGGACATCTTGGCATTTGTGTTGATGGAACAAAATCTTGAAAAATAAACAGAACTGTGGAATTTGTTTTACTTCAACTGTGAATAAGATATACTTACACTACTCCAAAGTTTATTAAAAAACCCCAGTCCATTAAAAACCCTAGAGTTTTTAAAATCAATCTTTGCCCTAAAAATCTTTTTAGGAGTCATTGTCAACAATCAACATATGTCTATATTACATTTTGGTCCTTACTTTATAGAATTACTTTACAAGACCAGCATGAACAGCTGATCTGCACCTAATAAATTAAAGTAGTTTTGCTACTACAAGAGAACTGCTATCATGAATGGACATTTCCAGGAAAATATCCCACCTACAAAAGATTTTTTTTTTCTATCTGAAAGCTAGAACTATCCTGCAAAGTCTGAAAACATGCTGTGTTAGAGTGGGAGGGAATGAATAAGAACATTTTCATTCACTTGAAGCCTGCTCAGTTTCAGGTCTTCTCTAAATCCTCTCTTTGCAAGCCGAAACCCAGCTTTTAGATGGGGAGAGATTACAGGTGGCACAATCTTAATCAGTGACATGGCCTCACTCTCTGGGGAAGGGTTAGGCTTTCCTCTAAATAGCAGAATATTGTTTAGGTTAATCCAATGCTGGTTCTTTAAAAAAAAGTAATTATTATTATTCATTTCAACTGAAACAACAGCTTTACTTGTTGCACCATATAAATTAAATCATCTGGATTAAATACTATTCTCATTCCTTTGAGTGCCTCGTATCACTTAGGAGCCCAGAGATGCTATTCAATCAGTGAAATCTTTAATGTTTTCCCAAATCCAAAAAAAATAAAGGTTTATCTCATCCATACAAAAGCTTGTTTCTAACAATGGATTGTTGAAAGGCATAGATTTTTCTTCCTTCTGATTCTTCCAAATTGAACTGAGAAACTGTTAGCACAATTTGGAAATTAACATGGGGGAAATCCCAAGTCAGCAGAGAAAGAACTTTAAATAGAGAATAAGAAATTAGAGTTTGGAATTCTGGACTCCAGTTGTTGCTCTAATCATCTTTGGAAATCAGAATTAGTATTATAGAATGTCAGTGAAAGAAAGCAGGATCCACAAGACCCTCCATTCCAGCCAACCCCATTTCTAGTTCAGAACAAAACTAGAACTTTTATCACCCTGGCAAGCTGGAGAAGAAATCCATATATTTCAATATTCTCCCACCCAACACTGTGCTACTCTGTTCTTCTATATTACAAGGCCAACCAAAAACTTCTACTGGGGATCAGAGCCAATCCACAGCACTGGGTGAACAAAGGCAGAGTTCTATGACAGACAATAACTCTTATGACTCCCCCGGTTCACTGATATACTTATAGCCACTTCTTACAACTCTGAAACCCGTAAATGAATCCTTCCAGCACAACACACAGATCACCACGTTTCCCTGAGCCACAATCACAGTTACCTATAGTTCGCTGCATGCCCCACCATCATGCCGAAAGCATGGTTCAAGGAAGGATGGGAAGAGATTCTCTTCTTTTCTATTCTTTAGTAGAATGCCGGCGCAAAGGAGCAGTTTCAGATTTTTCCAGGGACGAATAGTCTGTTCAGTGTTCAATTGCAAAGATTTTGCAATATTAGCCCGTTAGATCGGACTTCATCCCTTCAGGTTAACACACGATACCTTTGTACCTTCGGTAATCAGGATCCCGATGAGGAGGGGGGGGCTCTGAACTAGAAAAGCTGAAGCCACAGAAATGACTGTTAAGACTCGCCCCCCCCCCCGTTTTGGGCTATCCCGAAACGGCGTTTTCACAGCGGAAAAGTACATTCCCGCGGTGCTACTTATTGTCCAGTCACCGACCCAAGGTGTGGGAATGCACGTGTGGAAATCACAGCGCTCCCTCCTCTTGCTTCTCTAGCAATTCAGTTTCAAAGCCGGCTTGGGGTGGGGGGGTGGGGGGGAGAAAGCCACCCCAGCACACACTCCAGGTAGCCAAGAAGAGGGGATCCGGTGCTTTCCTTCTTTACCACCACCCCCGCCAACCTCCACCACCCCCCCGCCTCCCACCCTCCGGCGTCCTAGGCAAGGGGGACTTAGGCTGCGCCCCGTCACGCCTTGCTTTTCCCATTCACATAAACTACCTTCAAAAACGCGGGGCTGCTTCAGACGCAGCGGCGGCGGCGGGTGCCCGCCTCATCTCCAGAGATTCCCAGCCGGAGACCGTGGCTGCATCTCCCTTCCGTCCGCCCCTCAAGCTCCCTCTGTCCCAGAGAGCGGCAGCGGCGAGCGAACCATCCTCTCCCCCTCCCCTCCTCTCTCTCTCTCTGCGCGGGTCTGAGCTCTCGCGCCCGCCAGTCTTCTTTTTCTCTCTCTTTCTTTCTCCCCGCGCGCGCGCGCGCGCGCGCGGCCAGAGCGAGAAGGGCGAGCGGTGCTTCTCGCTCGACCTGCCCCGGCCGCGCGCTTTCGGCTTCTCTCTCTGCAGCGCCGGTCCCGGCTGCCCCCGCTTCCCCCCCCCCACCGCTTAGATGGTGCGGCGGCGGCGGGTGGGGGGATGTGGAGGATGGAAGGATGGAGGGGGGGTGGAGATGAGGGGCGGAAGAGAAGGAAGCGCGCTTCGCAGTTGCCGCGTCGGTCCCGAAAGGCTGGAGAGAAGCGAGCGAGGAGAAAAGACCTCACTTTTCTCCTCTCTGGCAGAGCCGAGTCTGTCTGCAGAAGTGGCTACCTAGAGAAGTCCTTCGTGTTTTCCAACACCACCATTTCCCCCCCCCCACACACACACACACATCTCCTCCCCTCCTCTCCCTCCGGCGGTTTTTGGCCTCTTTGGTTTGCTTTGACCAGAGCACAAGTCTGGCTTTTTGTTTCCCTGCCTGCTCGGGCTCCCCTCAAACGGCCGGGCAGCAAAGAAGCGGTTGAGGCGGCAGAAGCTGAAGGGAGCTCCTCTTAGGGGAGCCGGATCTGCAGCAGGAGCGGTTGCCGGCCCCTCCCGCGCCCCTTCTCCAGGGTCAGCGCACAGCCCATTTCTGCTCTGCCTTAATTGGATAAAACGGGAGGTGGGGGGACTCCCTTCGGGCCTCTCCTCTGCAGCTTTTTTTTTTTTTCCTCTCTCTCTCTCTCTCTCTCCTGCACAAGGAATTTGGCGCGCAGCGGATCGCTTCGACCCCAGGTCATTCGGTAGCGAAGGTCCTCGGGCGTGAGTTGATGCTGCGATCGCCGCTCGCTATCCAACCAGCGGGTAACTTTGTTATTTCCAGATGGCCAAAGTGACGGGATTCTCTCCCACTTAAAGGCGCCGACGGGCTATAAACGCCGCTGGAAGATTTGCGGTTTAGTGGCTGTCACAAGCCCGCTCGGTTACTGTACTGTACGCGGAGAGTTGCGACTGGCCGCCAGGGGTCGCTCTCCTACTCGTTGAACAATTTCCCAGATTTTTTTTTAAAAAAAAGAGAGACGGCATTGGGGTCCGGTTTGTGTGCCGGCTACTGTTCCCGCGGATGCTTCGAAAGTCTGTAATTTTCCAGTTCCCAGATGGAAATTCCTGCATATACTCTTCCACAGGCCTCTATGAGCTATGGAAAGAGTCCTGAGTCGCACTCAAAACACTCCCCCCCCCCCCCGCTTGGATTAATAAAATCACAAAAAACATGTTAGCATACTAGCCATGCCTCTTTATGGATCTAAGAAATTATTTATTTTTTAAATTGATACTTATTGAACAGACAGTTTCTCATCTCCGGGTCCATGTAGCTTTAGAATTTTTTTACTTTGAAATTGAAGAGAACCCATTTCCTTCTTCCTACAATTTAACAAATATGTGAAGATCCCTTTTTCTATGACCTTAACTGAACCCTTCTGTGTTCTGCAGCCAATGTTGGAAACAGATTTATTTTTCCTCAACATCTTCATAAAACCTGCAGTATTGCTAGTCTTAGTAAACCCCCCCCCCCATTTTATTCCATTTCAGGCAAAGAAAACTAGGTCTAGGGCTGAAAATATTCTTCTGTATCCCACATAGTAAAAGAAAAGCAAAACTCTTCAAAGATTTTCATGGCTACCTCTTAACTAATGAATCATGGAATGGTAGGGACCTTGAAGATCAACTCCCTTCCGGTTTCAGAATTCCTGACCATTTATTTATTTATTCCCAAATAAATGTATTACAGGTTTTTAGCTGCATTCATATAAAAAGGACAAGGTTATTTGTGAAGACTAGATGATGCTCTCATGTTTGGCAATATCATATTCCTCTTCTATGCGGTCAACTGAAGTTCTAAGTTTATATATTCCATCCTTCATTCCTCCTTAGTTTGTAATGCCAGACCATCTAGGTTGCCTTGACTATAATATTGACTGAAATTGACTTTAGGAGAAAGGTTCCATGGTTTACAAATAAGTGCTCCCCTCTGCAATTATATTTGTGTACACTTCTGACACAGCTGCAGACAGTTAAAAGCACTTGTTCCAGAAAAAGTGTCTAGCCTTCTTAGTCATAAATATATTTGATATATGTTGCTTGAAGGGGGAGAAAGAGGCAGACATGAGTGTGCACAACAACAAAGAAAGAGAGGAGGAAAGAGCTTGCTCTTTATTTTTATTTTTTTTAAAAATATATTCAGTCTTTATTACTTTATAAGTAACTCAAGACGGTGAATATAATACTCCTTCCTCCTCATGTCAAGTGAACCATATCCCTAAGAGATTTGGAGAACTCAGTTATAACTGCAGGTCAGCATCTTTTCATCATCCTATTTCTAGCTGAGATATTTAGAAATTTCTAGCTCCAAAGTTTCTAGAATGCAAATTGCTTTTCAAAGAAGGCATTATTTATTCCAACTGAAAAAAAAATTGATATATTATGTATGCCTGGATTTCCTCACTCTTGCAATGCAAATTTTATCCTCATTCCCCTGTTTTCTTTCTATCACACCACTGCTTCTCTTGTTGAATTACGCAAGTGCCTGTATAATATCCCCACTTACTCTACTCTGTCATGAAATACACAATCATTATTTGCATGCTTCTTCTACCCAGACCTGGATGCAACTTAATCACTGCAATAATAGACATAGTCTAGTGTGTGTGTCCATGCTCATTTTTGAAAGATATTCTATTTAATTATTTAATTTATATGCTGCCCATCTCAGTATCCAAAGCGACACTGGGTGTTTTATAGTCTTTATATACCTTATAGTTCTAACTTATAACTATATCTGTTTATGACTACAGATCTGCCACCTTACCCTTACATTCAGATTTGCTTTTTGGAACAACTTGCTTAGTGGAGAGATCCAAAGAATTTGACAATTTATGAAATTTGTGACCTTCTAATCAATAAATAATAAAAATTGTCCTAACTGGAATTTGCCTTTGGTTTTTCACTCATGTGATCACTAAATTGGCTGTCTGATTTGTGCTATGTTTGTTTGAGGTAGAATTTCCCATTTGGGGTTGCACTGAAAATTTAAAGCAATTTGATAAGAAAAAAAAAAGATTATTTTAGGCCTCCTCCCTTCATCACAAGCCTAAACAATTTTAGTAACTTATCATCTCTAAAAATACTATACAACAAATGATCTCTTCTTCCAAATCTCATGTCTTTTATTTTTATTTATTTATTTTTATTATTCGTATTTCTATGCCGCCCAACTCTCTGAGGACTCTGGGCGGCTTACAACAAAGACAATATGAACAATATACAATAAAAGACGTTAAAAAACCCATACACACCACTCATGGCCGGATCTTGCAAGATCGCAGCGGCGAGATCAATGGCCCCAAGCCTGCCAGAAAAGCCAAGTTTTCACCATTTTCCGGAAGGCCAGTAGGGTGGGAGTGGTCCGGACCTCAGGAGGTAGCTGATTCCAGAGAGCCGGGGCAGCCACAGAGAAGGCCCTCCCCCGCGGACCCGCCAGCCGACATTGTTTAGCTGACAGGACCCGGAGGAGGCCAATCCTGTGGGATCTTACCAGTTGCTGGGAACTATGCGGTAGAAGATGGTCTCGAAGATAGCCTGGCCCCAAACCATATAGGGCTTTAAAGGTAATAACCAACACCTTGAATTGTGACCAAAGACCGATAGGAAGCCAGTGCAGCTCATGGAGGATTGGTGTAATGTGGGAGTACCTAGGTGCACCCACGGCCGCTCGAGTGGCTGCATTCTGGACCAACTGTAGTCTCCGAACACTTTTCAGGGGTAGCCCCATGTAGAGCACATTGAAATAATCCAACTGTGTGGTGACAAGGGCATGAGTGACTGTGAGAAGAGCCTCCCGATCCAGGTAGGGTCGCAATTGGTATACAAGGCGAACCTGTACAAAGGTTCTCTTAGTCACAGCTGCCAGGTGTTGCTCTAATCTCAGCTGTGGGTCAAGGAGGACACCCAAATTGCGAACCCATTCTGAGGGGGACAGCTTCTCCCCCCCTCCCAGGGCTAAGGATGGACATGGTCCTTGGGAGGCAATACCCACAGCCACTCAGTCTTGTCTGGGTTAAGTCTGAGCCTATTGACTCCCATCCAGACTCTCACAGCCTCCAGGCACTGGCATATCACATCCACTGCTTCACTGAAATGATGCAGGGTGGAGATATACAGCTGGGTATCATCAGCATACTGCTGATATCCCACCCCGTATTGTCAGATAATCTCCCCCAGCAGTTTCATATAGATGTTGAATAAAAGGGAAGAGAGAACCCAGCCCTGAGGCACTCCACAAACGAGGGGCCTAGGGGTCGACTTCTGTCCTCCTATCAACACCGACTGAGACCAACCAGAGAGATAAGAAGAGAACCACTGTAACACGGTGCCTCCCATTCCCAACTCCCTTAGTTGGCCTAGTAGGATACCATGGTCGATGGTGTCAAAAGCTCCTGGGAGGTCAAATAGCATCACGATAGAGGAATGACCCCCATCACGGGCTCACCAGAGATCATCCATCAGCGCGGCCAAATAGATTCTTATCTAAAAACAGACTTAAAAACAGGGGTGAAATGCTCCCAGTTCAGACCACATCTCTCGATCTGGTAGCGATGGAGGCGGGTGGTTTGGCGAACCAGTAGCAAATATCCCTGCCCCCCACATGCCCAGCTGAGCTGCACAATCATCAGAGGCTTTTTTTAAAGCATTTTTTCTACAACCTCTTTGACAGAAGAGGTTATAGAAAAAAATGCTTTTAAAAGGAAAAAAAGCCTCTGCCAATCTGGCAAGTCATCTGGGATCCTCAGAGGCTTTAAAAAAAAAGAAAGCCTCTGCCGATCAGGCAACTCAGCTGGGATCGTCAGAGGCTTTTAAAAGCATTTTTTTACAACTTCTTCAGCCAAAGAGGTTGTAGAAAAAATGCTTTTAAAAGTTTAAAAAAAAAAGTTGGCCACGCCCATTCAGTCATATTACCCCACCACCACCAAGCCACGCCCACAGAACAAATTTTACATTTCACCACTGCTTAAAAGCCAGAATCCTGATCAGCCAAAGGCCATTAAAGATTACAAGAAATAAAAACAAATCTATTTTAACCATGATCAAATAAACAAACCTTATATTCCTTCACTTCATTTTTATCAATCTTAGTCTTTAATATTTTCAAATAACTTGATTTATCTTTTTTTCCTTCATTCCTTCTCACAAAGTTCTTCCACATTTTAGCAAGCCAGTAATTTACTGTATTGTATTGTAAATCCAGTATAGCAATTTATCCAAGTAATTCTTCTGATCTTTTACTTGTATAAACCTTTTAATTACTAAGATATTAACTGGTTTCATATGTATATCCAGTATATATCTTCTTCCATATAAGTCGTATAGCCTGTCATTTTAGATCCAGATTTAAATCAATTTCAGTCTTGTCTGACAGAAGTTACTCCTTTTATAGAACTTCATTTAGGCACAATCTATAATAGCAAATATTCTTAAAAATAACTTGTAAATTCATTGTTCACAAATATCTTTCAATACATCTAAGTTAAAGTATTTTGCACCATTCTATGTTAACAAGTCGAATTATATGTTCTTATCTTTTAATTGTATTCTTTAGTTCCTTCTGGTTCCCTCTGGTATCCAACCTTCAAAGTTCCATCATAT